TCTGGTTCGCGGACTGTTAAACAGAGTCATATTTTCCTCGATTCGGGATTCAATCGATGACTTGGGACACCATAAATCTCCCAAGTGGCAACTCTGAATTTCTTAAAATAAATCTCGTTTCGATTGTCCTTTAATTAGAAAAACTCCCTTTACATATACCCTTTTTCCGGGGTGTAGGTGAAAAAGGAGGTGTGACAGAAGCAACTCGAACTTTTTTGGAAATCCTATGTTATACTTCTCCCGGCCCCCTTTTGTTGTTTCTACTTTTGAACTGGACAAGCTAGGAACTTTGTGTCCTAGAAAAGTCCCAATTTGTAATAACACTTAAACAGGGCAGAATAAATATCTTCATTACCAAAAAAAAAAAAAAAGAGTATCTAAACAAAATTATGTGATGGGCATGGTGGAGGTCAACTATACGCTCCCTCAGGCATGGGCTCTCCCCCATTTCTAAACATCAATTATCATCCAATTAATTTTGCTATGGTATTAATCTCTACTCATAATTCATTCCCATCACACAAATCATCATTCATAATCAAAATTTAAGTCTCACACTTAATTCCCAACATTTATATCATTAAAACAACGAGTTTTAAAGCAAAAAACAGATTTAAGAAAGTCTAAAAAGTCACAGAGCATTACACTTACCATAGCTAATACCATCAAGCCCCAAATATCATGTTAGTCATCACCCCAACCACAAGTGCTTTCACCAACTCAAACATAATTTGCCCTATTCCTCCACCAAAATAAGTCTGAGCCTGCCCCTGACAATGATGTTGTAGGTGTAGCGGTGGGTGTGGCATGTAGTTATAGTGTTGCATATTAGATGGACCAGGAGAATAGTTGGGAGTAGGATTCCAATATGGAGTACTACTGTTCCCATAAGCATAAACACCAAAATATTGTTGCTGGTGATGAGGGAATAACGAAGGTGGAACGTACATAGGGATTCCTCGGTCTGTCATTTTCTTTTCACATTGAATCGGCACACAACCCATATGAATATCGAATCCACATAGTGCACACCTATAACGCCATGAGGAAGCATCACATTCTCCGCTACAAACAGCACATTTCCCAGCTTCAGACGAGCCCAAAAGCCTTAAAGGATGCTGCTTAATTTATGACAATATCATCATCAAAATGCCTATTTAATTAATATAATCATACAACACTTGTAAGTTGTCATCCACGTATATCATGGAGTTTGACATGCATGTTATTTTAATTGGCTTGATAAGAGTATTAAAGAGCTCACATACAATTGGTCAGAAAGTAAAGAAATTATTCTGAATTACTGTTTAGAATTGGTGAGCTACTACAAAAAATTTCAAGACCATTATCCTCTCTCTATAATTGGCTTGATAAGAGTATTAAAGAGCTCACATACAATTGGTCAGAAAGTAAAGAAATTATTCTGAATTACTGTTTAGAATTGGTGAGCTACTACAAAAAATTTCAAGACCATTATCCTCTCTCTATAATTGGCTTGATAAGAGTATTAAAGAGCTCACATACAATTGGTCAGAAAGTAANGTTGAGCTAAGCTTAATTAGCTTTAATGATTAACAAACGTTTGCAAAAAAATCAGTTCGCTTGAACTTTGTTGATCAGAAGCTAAAGTTATTTCCTAGTACAAGAAGAATCAAGTTGGAAAAATTGATTCTCGTTGATAGTCAAATTCCTTGAAGATTTTTTTCATGATCTACAAGAAAAATATTAGCTGAATAATTTGTGGCCAATAAGAACTTCGATTATGGAAATACTTGCATGAAAAGGAAACGCGTACAAAGTCTTTTAAGAAAATAAAATAGAAATCCTTAACGATGGATTGGAATAAATGAATATTTAATGGCAAAAATTGGACTTTTTGGACTTCTTTATATGAAGTCTTAGAAATTTCTAATGATGCTCAACAATTCACCTAGAAGTTTACACAGAAGGTCAACTCTGATTTCTTCTTTATAACCTTTGTATATGCTATGAACAAAGAACGCTTGAGCAAATCATTATAGGAAAGCCTTCACAATTGCTTCAGTCAAGTGAATGGTCCATGTTTCCTCTCAGGTGATTTCAATGTTATAATGAATGATGGAGATAAAAAAGGGAAAATCCTCGTAGAATGTAGAAGAGTTGGGACATTATTGATAGTATGGAGGATTGCGGTATGGTAGATGCAAGTTTTTTAGAACCAAGATTTACTTGGTGTAATGCTATAGATAAGACATAGAATTTGGAAGAGAATTGACAGAGTCTTCATTAACCATGATTGGACTTCAAAATTTCCTAGAATCAGTGTAGAACATCTTGCTAGCACAAGATTTGATCATATAGCAATGCTAGTCAAGTATTCTAATATTGATTTTTATGGTATTAGCCGGTCGTTTTGAGAGTTGTAGCCTCGTTCCCCCTACTACTCATTTTATGCTTAATAGTTGCTATATGACTTGCTAGGATAGTTGGTTCGGTTCCAGGGAAATTTCGGAATAAGTTGAGACACTTAGTCTCAAGATTGGAAGCTTAAGTTGAAAAGGTTGATCGGATGTTGACTTGTGTGTAAATAGCTCTGGAATGGATTTTTGATGGTTTCATTAGCTTCGTTAGGTGATTTTGGACTTAGGAGCATGTTCGGTTAGTGATTTGGAGATCTGTAGTTGAATTAGGCTTGAAATGGCAAAAGTTAGAAATTTAGAAGTTTGACCAAGAGTTGACTTTATAGTTACCAGACTCGGATTGGGGTTCCGAGAGTTAGAATAGGTCCATTATATCATTTGTAACTTGTGTGCAAAATTTGAGGTCAATTGGACGTGATTTGATAGATTTCGGCATCGAACGTAGAAGTTAGAAGTTCAAAAAATTTATTAGGCTTGAATCGATGCGCGATTCGTGGTTTTATTGTTGTTTGGCGTGATTTAAAGGTTCAACTAAATTTGTATCGTGTTTTAGGACTCGTTGCTATATTTGGTTGAGGTCCCAAGGGCCTCGGGTGGAGTTCGGGTGGTTAATAGATCGAATTTGGTATTTGAAAGACTTCTGAAGCTCACAAGGTGTGGTACAATCGCACTTGTGGAGTTTTGATTGCAGGTACGAGCAGGGGAGCGCAAATGCGTCCAGGAGAGGAGTGTGTAGTGGTCACAGGTGAGAAGGGTTGTCCGCACCTGCATGGTCACAGATGCGGTGAGGCTGAGTGTAGAAGCAAGGGGGCAGCACAGGAGCGGGAAAGAGGTCGCACCTGCGTTTGCACAGAAGTGGAGCTTGTTCCGCAGGTGCGAAGGTCAGGTTCTAGTGGTTCACTGCAAAAGCGATAGATTTGTCGTTTCTGCGACACCGCAGATGGGGTTAAGTTGTCGATGGTGCGAAAAGCTTGGACAGAAATATAAACGTTGGGTTCCGAGGGTTTTATCATTTTTTGACTTTGCAAACTCGGATTATGGCGATTTTTTAGAGAGGTTTTGAAGGGATTCTTGAGGTAAGTCACTTGTGGTCATTTTTATTCAATAATTTTGTTTTCCCATTGAATTTCCCACCTAGTTTGTGTGTGTGTTTAGGTATAATTTTGGGAGTTTGAGGCTAGGAATTTAGAGAGTTTAATTTGGGGATTTGGGTGACGATATAGTGTCGGATCTTGGTAAATTTGGTATGGTTAGACTCGTGGTTGAATGGGCTTCAAAATTTTTGTAAATTTTATTAGATTCCGAGACGTGGGCCTAGGGGTCGGCTTTTGAGTTAACTTTTTTGACTTTCGATTAAGAACCTAGTATTTTCTTATGAAATTGATTTCTTTAGTTCGTGTTGATTGTATCGAACTATTTGTGGCTAGATTCGAGGCATTCGGAGGCCGTTTCGCGAGGAAAGGGCATGTTGGAATAGAGATTTGCACGATTCGAGGTAAGTAAAACTTCTAAACTTGGCTCTGAGGATATGAAACCCCGAGTTACGTGTTATATGATTGTTTTTTAGGTGACGGGTGTGTGGAGTGTGCACCCTAAGAATTATGACTTGGTCGATTCCATGGAACTGTATAGTTGTTTGATCTTGCCGTTATACGTATTTCTACCATGTGTTAGAGAAATTGAGATACCAGTCATGTTAGAACTCATGCTTAAGCTACATGTTGGTACTGTATGGATCCATAAAGGTCGTGTTACATGTTGACTTATTTGCTAAATTTTCATTTTTACTCAGTCACAACTTTTATTGGCATATTATATCTCAGTCCTTGTTGTCCTTTATTGATACATTATCATTATTGTTTGGGCTAATATCATGATTCTTGAAAGCCCGAGAGACTAGAGAGATTGATGATAAAGTGAGGCCGAGGGACTGATTGTGAGGATATTTAAGGGATCGGGTTGCATGTCGCAGCATGTTAATTTGATTCATGGCATGATTGGCTTATTATAGCGCTTGGGCTGGAATCTCCCCTCTGAAGTCTGCACATTCACATTTAGCAGGTACCTACTGAGTGTGAGTGCTGAGCGACTGGGAGGATTGAGCGGATGTGAGGATGGAGTGACTGTGAGGATGGAGTGGATGGGAGGACTGAGTAACTGATACTCTGAGAGTATGCATATGATTTCATTACTGTTTTGTACTTCAGTTGGCATATATAACTGTCATGTAGATACCGAGATGTACCATATCCTTTTTCAATTGAACTTGACGTGACTTACCTGTTTGGGCTTTAACTGTTAAATTCAAAAGTATGCCTACATTTTTGTACTGAAATTTTGTAATTGAACTGTATCTGCAAAGCTCTTCACTACTTTCAGCTCAATAATTAGACTTGTTACTTATTGAGTTGGTTGTACTCACGCTACACCTTGTACTTCGTGTGCAGATCAGGTATTTTTGGACATGGTGAGTGCTGACTATCAGAGCAACTTAGTCATCGGAGATTATTTCGAGGTAGCTTCCCTGGTGTCCGCAGACCTTGACTCTCCTTCCCTATCCTTCAACTTTATTTATTCAGCTTCAATTTTCTTAGACAATATTTTAGACTTGTGTTATATAGATGCTCATGTACTTAGTGAGACCCTGGTTTTTGGAATTTTTCTTATTGAGTTATGATCTTTTATATAGTTTATGAGAGTTTTAATTATTTAAACTTGCTTTAGTACATTTTTCATTTAAAAGTGTTGGAAACATTTGAGATGTCGGCTTACCTAGTACCATGCTAGGCGCCTCACGACAGGTTAAATTTTGGATCGTTACAATTAGATACTTCAATTTTTTTAATTTTTGGACGGACCAACCTCATAAAATCACCCTTCAATGAATTTCTGGAGATAAAGAAATAGGAGCAGCAAATCACTTTGAGAAGCTTTTCAATAAAGTGTGGACCCCACTCCTTCATAACCTAGAATGTATTTACCCAGAGATTACAGAAGAAGAGAATGATGCCCTCACTCCTGATCCTATTGAAGAAGAGATCAAAAATATTGTCTTTGATTTAAATCCCAACAGTACCCCAGGTCCAGATGGATATAATGGCTACTTCTACCAGACTTGTTGGGAAATCGTAAAACAAGATTTAAGGGAGCTGATTCAAATCTTCTTCAATGGCTCCCAGCTAACAAAGTATTTCACAAGCACTTGTTTAATTCTTATTCTAAAAGTTGAAAATATGTCCTTTTTTCAGACATGAGACCTATTAGTCTATCAAATTTTTCACATAAAGTGATTTCTAAGATTATGAGCAATACACTAGTTGGTATTCTCCCAAGACTTATTTCATACAATCAATTATAGGATTTGTCTATGGAAGACTAATCACTGAAAATATTGGGTGAAAATATTGTCCTCAAACTTGACATGGCAAAGGCCTATGACAAGGTCAATCGGCAGTATACAATGGCCATTCTTAGAAAGTATGGTTTCTCTGACAAATGGGACGATCTTATGTGGAGATCATTTTCAAATATATGGTATTCTATACTCATCAATAGTTTCAGAAAAGGTTTCTTCATTCCACTAGAGGCCCCTTGTCTCCTTCATTATTTATTCTAGGGACTGAAGTTCTGTCTATAATATTAAATATATGTACTTCATGAAGACTACAGGTATGGTTTCTCAATGTCCAGGTTTGGTCTTCAGATTTTCCACCTTGTTTGTAGTGATGATGTGATAATCTTCACTTCTATGGATCATTACTATTTAAACAAGGTTAAAACAACTCTTAGTAACTATGCTAAGTGCTCTGGTCAAATGAGGGAAAAAATGCTTCCTAATTAGTCCAAAAACTACTCCCATCGTTTCAATTTATGCGAAACTATTTGACTGGACACGAAGTTTAAACAAAAAATAAAGACTTTTTAAATTTGTGATCCTAAACAAGTCAAAAGGGATTCAGAGTATTTGTGTGGTTATAAAAGCTTCTCATTAAGGATATAATTGGAAGTTTAAGTTAAATTGTTTCCAAATTTAAAAAGGGACCATTCTTTTTAGAACTGACCAAAAAAAAAAATAGGTCAAAAGTGATACAATTTAACCCCTCTTTTATCTTGGTGCATCCTAAAATATCATATAATACGAAAGATAACTTTAATTTCTCATATAAAGAGGTTGAAAGGAAGAGAAACACCGCTTCACATTCTTTTGCAAGTGGAAAGGAATCTTGTTGGACGTCTTCTCAAAATCAATATAATTGGTCAAAATGGGCTAGATCGATAAACAAACACTTATTTGAAATACGTAATTACTTCACTTGTCTCAATTTATGTGGCGAACTTTATTTTCTTAAAATCAAATTAACTAATATTTGGAGTTAGATTAGATTAGATCAGATTAACTTAATTATTTAAAATTAAAATTTAGTTATTCAAAAATGATACGAAAAATACTATAAGTTGAAATTCTTCTCATGTCAATATAGTGAAAAAATACATAAAATGTTGGTCAAACTTTACATAATTTGAATCTCGAGAAACAAAAATTGTCACAGAAATTGGGACAAAGGGATTAGTAATTACCTTATGTAGGGCATGGCGCAGTGTTTCAGGCAACTGAGTACACAAAGGATGGACATCAAATTCACAAAGCTCACACCTATAAGATAGGCCTTCGATGGTGTCTCGACAGACGTTGCAGAAGCGTTCGCGCAGGTGATTGCGTTCAACGAGCTTGAGTGAATGGTAGGGATGCATGAAAGACGAAAGATTGGGTGGACATGTTCCGCAGTGTTCATGTAGGTTAAAGTTGCAGTCATGACAGTGATATCTTTTACCTGAGCCAGGGATCATGCAACCCTCGCACAAATATTTAGTGTTATTGGCATCATCATATATTGTTATTGGATGCTCATGCTGTTGGCGGAGAGGTGCCATTTCTGGTATTTTTTTAAGCTCACAAGAACTTCCAAGAGCAAGAAAACAGTGGTAGACTTTATGGGTTTCGAAGTCTTTCACTTAGTTTTTAATAATTTTCGTTTCGTCATATCTAAATGCATCGAGTAGAAATTGTCTTTAGTACTTTCAATACCAGCTTGGATGTTTCCTAATTGCTCTTGTCGACTACTTCTTCATATATACAAGTTGTTGTGTTCGACTATAACATGTGATCATATGTAAATTCTTTATTAATTCTCGGAAATATCAGTAGAACTTTCTGTTATTTGATATTTTGAAAATGAAATTAATATATCATGCAAAAAAATAAATAGAAATGATGAATCTTGATTAAAATCTTTAATGTTGTACAATTTTTTAACAGCAAGTTGGGTTTACTCTGGTTTGAGCATGAACTTTTCAAGCACCGAAAAATAACTGCCCACGAATACCAAGTCTCCTGGTGTTGACTCTCAAATAAATGGTACATAAATTTTGGATTTATTGCTTATATCCACTGTAATCAAGGTTTTACGTTACGTTATTATAATTGCAATTTAACATATTGTAAAAGATTATTTATTATTGTAGTTTTCAGTTTATTAAATTCGCTTTTTACCAGCAATTACATGAAATGCGTTGTGAGTAATTTGACAGAGGCAAACTTTTGCTATATTACACTTTTTCACTAGGCAGGCAGATAATTAGCTTAGCATGTTTTGCCTAGTCAATATCGGAAAAATTATAGGAGCCCTACCTGGAGTCCGAAACCTTTTTAATCATTTTTTTGGACAAAAAATACTTTTTTACTACTTTAAAAAAAAGTTACATAAATGAGCAAAACGCAGTATTATACTGCGAATTAATACTGCGAATTACTTTAACGGAAATTTTGCCGTTAAAGTAATTCGCAGTATAGTACTGCGTTTTTGTTTTAAATTTTTTTTTTTTTGTAAATCGCAGTACTATACTGCGAATTACTTTAACGGCAAAATTTCCGTTAAAGTAATTCGCAGTATAGTACTGCGTTTTTGTTTTAAATTTTTTTTTTTTTGTAAATCGCAGTACTATACTGCGAATTACTTTAACGGCAAAATTTCCGTTAAAGTAATTCGCAGTATAGTACTGCGTTTTTGTTTTAAATTTTTTTTTTTTTTTGTAAATCGCAGTACTATACTGTGTTTTACTAAGATGCTGGGCCCAGCTATATTTTATTAAAGTTGTTCAATAAAACGCAGTATAATACTGCGAACAGCTTCAATAAAATATAGCTCCTTCTTCCTTGGACCACTGAACCGAAGGAAACCAAAAAACTTCGATTCTGCTGGTCCCCCCCACCCCCGCGTCAAACTTCAAAAAAAAAATTGGGCCCCACCCGTCACCTAAAGAGCAAGGAGTGTAGGTCCCACATACAAGACAAGCTTTGGGTTCCTTCTTTCGGGTGCAAAAATTTGATTTCAATCAAATTTAAAAAACTTAAATCGAGGTATTTCAATTTTGTTTATGTCGAAACTCGTATAGTACATGCATATTTGTATTGTTTAATGTGTTTCCATGTTAATTTGTGTTATGTTTGTGTTTAAATTTGTATCTTATTTTTACCCGGATTGATTTATTAGCTTTGGTACAAAAAATTGTTAAAATTTGATAAATTATTTGTATTGTTAAAAAATTAATATTATTTATTTTGTTTGTTGTTCATATTTGTATTTTATGTTAGTTGTTTTTATATGTAATAGTGACCTTTTAGCGTAGTAAAATAAATAGCCTTTTAGCGTAGTAAAATATAGAGCCTTTTACTGTAGTAAAATATAGAGCCTGTTAGTGTTGTAAAATATAGAGCCTTTTAGCGTAGTAAAATGTAGAGCCTTTTAACGTAGAGTCTATGTAGTTTAAGTATGTAGTAACTGCAAACTCTATCCAATTACACTTTACAAAATTAATTATTTAATTATAACAATAAACTTACAAAAGTAACAAATTCCTATATGTTGTAAAATTAACTCAAATATCGATCCTGGAACCCATACATAATTATTTTGTCCAATTGTAAACATAATTAATTATTTAATTTATTAAGCTAGCACACGCAATTCTAAAAATGTTAAAATTGACACGCATAATAATTAAGGATAACTCGGTGCTACCGAGCCTCAAAAATCGAGCCTGGAACCCATACATAATTATTCAGTCCAATTGTAAACATAATTAATTATTTAATTAATAAGCTAACAGACACAATTCTAAAAATGTTGAAATTGACACGCATAATAATTAAGGATAACTCGGTGTTACCGGGCCTCAAAAAATGAGCCTGGAACCCATACATAATTATTCAGTCCAATTGTAAACATAATTAATTATTTAATTTATTAAGCTAGCAGACAAAATTCTAAAAATGTTGAAATTGACATGCATAATAATTAAGGATAACTCGGTGCTATCGGGCCTCAAATATCGAGCCTGG